GTAGCTCCAACTTCTTTACACATCTCAGCAGCAGTCTGAGACGGGTAATTCGAGCCTAGAGGGGAGGAAACACTGGTCGAGGAGTTAAGTGCTGCCTGCTGATGAGGACACCGGGTGAATGTTTAACAGATTTCTCTGGAAAGGGAAAACAAATTGTAAACGGTTGTCTGTGTGGCCTTTTTTAAATATAGAGTATACATATTTCTTTTGGGAATTAAAACGCCTTTAAAACATTTGGACCATCATGGGGCATTTAAACGTTCCACTTGACACCAGTGCTGGGGATATTTTCGACATTCTCCACTGGCCAAAAAATCCTGAGAACCATTTACTCCAGAACAAAAAAAAGTGAAAGGGTCGGTCCTCAATGTCAGAAGATTTTTTCTTTTTCCTTTGGGTTGCTAAACAGATACAGCTCTGGTTAATCATACACAAAATAAAGAAACATGGTGGTGGCGAAGAGACAAATTTGTCTATTGTAAAAGTATTGTTCATTATAAAAAAAGTCCCCTGAAAAAAAAAGGCGATACAGTTGCATTGCCGTCGTGTCCATCGTCAGTGATGTCTACACAGCTGGGAGTCCTAAAAACACTGGGTCCATTAGGTGAGTGTCAGTCCACAGTGTGCAGTAACAACAGCTGCGTCTTCTTACAGCCACTCCCTCGCCCGTTGTTGCCCCGTGTGACACAGCTCCGTTGGATCTAAATTAGCTCCCGGCTCTGACACGAAAAGTATCCCAGCTCCGGCAGCGACCTTTGACATGTCGCACAATTACGCTTTCCCCACTGTTCGCCGATCAATTTGGCAGCAACAAGGCAAGGCGACGACGGCTTCATTACACTCGGTGCTGAGCATAACAGCTCCAAATGCTTAGTGTCACTTCCATACGAGGATAGCAGGAAGGCTTTAATTAGACGACGCCACGGCAACACGGAGCATGTTCAGGTCAGGTACAATGATGTGAAACAGGCAGCTTCCAATGTCGTCGAGGAGTTAGAGCTATCAACGAGGAAACTGATGAAATGTAGGAACGTGACAGCGTTGCAAACCTATTCAGAAGGGGCAAGAAACATTAGCCATTGATTGTGTAACTTGGATGTGTCAGTAACTGAAAAGGCTCATGAAATTTGTTGGAAACATGGACTCGTCAGATGGTCAACAGCAGTGCTGCCATTGGTGGACCCAAGATATGTACAGTATATTACAGCTATGCTACTAAATCAAATTGTAGTCTCCTTTATATCTCCTGGCCACCAATGCCAACACAGAGCACACGGTTTCTATTGACCATGTTGTCGTTGTTTTAAAGCATCCATCGTTTTCCCATTTTAGAGGTCACTAAGAAGATTGGCCACAATCCCGACAAGTTGAGCATTTAAAAAAAAAAGAAGAATCTTCTTAAATGATTGTCTATAAGGTGTTTTTGATAACTCGAGTTGGAGAAAAAACTCATTAAAAAGGTACTGACACTAGAGAAAACCAGAATAAAGACCTTTACACCATGGGGGCGGCTTTTTTTTCTCGTGTGAATAATTTGCACGTCAATACTATTTGTTAACGAATGTTTTTTTCATGAGTACTTTCACTTGGAAAGCAAATATTATGTAGCTGAGAGAAGCAGCATCATTTTTTTTTGAATTGAGATTGATTTTTCTGAGCTTTTGCACCATGAAAAAAGCATTAGCTTATCACGTTGCTTGGGACGGACATATTCAAAATGTACATTTTACCACTTTTTGACCCTAATGATTTGATTAAGTGCTATTCAAGTGTTCGCAACAGGTCTGTTGAGTTACAGACAATTTGAGTCCATGCATGGGGGGAAAAGTATTTTTGGGACCAATGGAATCGCGTGACCCGGACGCTGTAATACCATGGTTTGGCCACTGTTTAAAATTTGCTTCAAAGCACGCTGCTCTTCCTGGGGGCTTGCGCATACCAGATCCACTACTTCCGTTTAACCTTTCACAATAAAATACCTAGTAATATACACTGCGTAACTGTTTACCAGAGGGAACTAACATTCCCTCAGACCATGTCAATAAAAGGAAAGTCAATGAAATTGCTACCAGCAGCTTAAGTTATACAACAACTTAGCTCAGAGAGACTGCCAGATGCTACTTGGGGTCAATAGGAACCCTGCAGTTGGTGCACTATTTGCAAAAATCTATGGGAATCTTTGAATAAACAGGGGTTGCAACTGTGGCAAAAATTCAAAGGCAAGTATTTTGTATTTTCGTAATGGTTATTCGTCACATCCCCGGTGTGTCATGGCCTCAAGGCTGACAAAGAATCACCATGTGCACTTGTAATTGTGTAACGTGTACCCGGCTACTTAAAATCCCCAAATTCTCAGAAACATTACAGAGGACATTGGAGACCAAAGGAGCTACGGACAAACGCCGAAGATAAGACCCAAGTTGTAATAACTTGACAGATGCTGGTTTCGTGATGGTGTCGCAGACATAAAGGTAACATTAATCCAGATTAATTCAACAATCTTTTGTTATACACTTTAATGCAGGACTCGGCTGTGTGTCAAGGGCAAAAAGGATTAGCGGCACTTTGCATAATAAACAGGCCAAACAAACACAAATACAGAAAAGCAGAGGTAAATAAACCTTGAAGGGAGTCCTTGTCTGCTTCTGTCCATTTTTTATGTACACAGTTTATTAATCAATATTTGTGGCCATAATTACAGCTGTTTTTCGTGTTGCGAGGTAATGGAGATTAATTAGTGACCTGCAACAAATGCTGTATGGGTAAAGGGATAATGAGCTCTGCTTTATGCTTTCATTTTTAAGTGATATTTCAAGTCATCCACGAAAGTTGGAAATTAACTTTGGACTTTATAATTGTGTTTATTTGTTGCCATCATTGTTGTTTACCTTTGTCATTTAAGACCCCCGGCGGTTCCTCCATCTTCTCGGTGAAAGCAGCAGAGCAATAATGAATCAGGTGCTGTCGTCTCAGTGGGACTCTCCCTTACTTAAGGTGACCTTCCACAGATTAAAAACACCATTTAGTGTCTCGCCATTTGGCTCACACGTTAAAGACGCTGTCACAAATTAGAATCCAGGAGCTGAATGGAAAGACTTTTACACGGTTTCATCCTAAGAGGCCGAAATAGACTCATTTTCTTTTGAGGGATCAGGGGATGTTTAGGGGGAGATAGCGGTTCAACAATAGATAACACATAGGTTGTAGGCACTTGGTCCTTTCAGGATTAATAAAGGAAAACAAGACAAGCATGCAGACCAAATTTCAGGTTATTTGGAGCAAGCAGCGCGGAGTTATTACAGTTTTAAAGTTCAACCCATACTTGTGTAGTCACGTAAAATGTAACAAACAGGTAATTGTTGAATAATTATCTTTCTGAAGGTCGTAGAGACTTGGAAGTTGGCTCCATCAGTAGTAATTTGGGCCCGCCCGATCCAACGGTACCATCCGCAAGCTTCTACAACCTTGGGAAGGGGGTGAACTGTGAAAATGGATGGTTGGGTGATTGGATGGCGAGCACTTCTGTTCTGGAAACTGCTCAGAAACCCCCTTATTGTCCGTATACGGTATACCTAGGAAAGCCATACATCCTCCGGTTGCCCTCCGTCTGTATTATGTGGTTGTAAAGTTTCATGAGGCTGTGATTACCCTAGAGGTCACAACAGGTCATTTTATACAGTGATGTCAAGTTTCAAAAAGTGGTCTGACTGTGAAATGGCTAATATGGGGACCAACATAATCACACATTAAATACAACTGGGCACATTGGATCCACAAAAGTCTCAGCTTTTCAGTTATACACAATGTATGCAATTCCAAGACTGTTTAGTTTAGAAATATTCAAAGCTCATTCATAGCTTTAAAACTGACCCCGCTACAGCCCCTGAAAGAAAGTGATGTAAGCCGCGATTGTCTCCGAATAAATTATAATGATATATTTGTGCTTTATTTTCTGAATATTGTCATTTTGTCTCCGCATTCTATTTCCACCTGCTCCATGTTTGTAAGATCTCCACTTGTTCTGTGCTGATTAAGAACCTACACCCACCCAGTGGTACTATTTGTGGGCTGACTTCTGTGGGTTAACAGATGCAGAAATCCTAACTAAGTAAATCTTTTTTTCTATTTTTTGGAACTTCAATATGTTTTGGCTGACTTTTAATGTTCACCTGAAAGTCTATGTGTTGCTTTGGAGTTGTGTCAGGTATTGGTTTTTGGTTGTTTAGCTATTGCATGTTAACTGTTAATCGCGTGGTGGATATACGCGTTCTTTTCTGGAAAATACATCCAGACATATGGTGGTCGCGCTTGCAGATTTGCATGGAAGACTGGGCTATAAGGCCTCGGCGGAGGTCTGCGGTCTCTGATGTGCCCTTCTAGTTTGCTCCTGTGACGGGTTGGCACCTTACCTCCTCCTCCTGGCCACTCTACATATATATCTCATTAAAGTAATGCAAAACTCAAATAAGCAAAGAAGCGGTGAACTTCTAGTTTGTCGTATGTCCGTAGGAACAAGAACATGGGAAAGAAAGAAGAGAAAATGCCTTTAATGCTAAAAAAGTGTGTGTAAAAGTGTTTTTTTTTGTCTTAAAAACATATCGATCAAAGGTGATAACAGGAAAATGCAACAAACTTTCAACACCGTCAGGGCTCATTGTGCATCAGAGGAGCTACTTCAAGCTACCCAGAATCCTCTTCTGGTGTGTGTGTGTCGAGAACAACCGTACTAGAGCGTGCCCATTTCCCGAAGAAAACCAAAAATATCTGAACCAAGTTGTGACATTTCTTCCGCTGTGAACGCAACCCCCCTCAAAACAGAGAGAAAAAACCCCGTCTACCTCCAGGCGCCCATTGGCCCCCAGTTCCCCTGACCGCTTCCGTCTCCGCGCACCGATTGGAGGACCGTGCCGCCCGTCTCCCTGACAGACACCGCCGGAGCCACAGTCTCCTCCCAGCGGCGGCAGACGCTATTTGAGTGGGGACCAGCGGATTGTTGTACATAGAGCCGGTTTCAGTGTCGTCAATGGGAAGCACGCGAGGCGGTGGCACAGAGAGTTACGGTCTACATTAAAAAAATAAGAAAAAAAGAAAAGAATTCCGCGGCTGCACCATGCTCTCCAGGTCTACCCCGTGTCTGTGGATTACATTTTTTTGCCTTCATTTATGCTGTCATGTAGACAGCGGAGAAGCACAAAACGCGAAGGAAGGTAAGTTCCGAAAGTTTGGACTCGCTTCTCATCCCATCGCGCTGGGAAAAGATCTCCGGAATGAGCGGAGAGGTGTCCACTATTCAGCAGTGGGCTTCTTTGTTTTTGTTGTTGTTATATTTCCTCTTTGAATACCCACGCGATGCTTTAACAAATAGCTGGATGTGGCTTTTTTTTTTGTAAACCCAGCGCCGTCAGACGAGGCCGGTGTGCGGGGATGACAGCACCGTCTGCTCCCGGGGCTTCTTTTTTGCCCGAGCGACCTCTCGGTGTTTTTACGCACGGCAACGAAACGACGTAGAACACGGATTATAGACGCGGGGGCTTTTTATTTATTTTTATTATTTTACTCCAGCGTTATCGGCGCAACTCGTTATAGATTATCAATCCATCACGACCAAACTAGGGAGGCTAATATCGGCGGATCGATCGTCCCAGCGAGACTCGCCTTCCCGAGAAGTGAGTGAGCTGTCTATAGTCTGGACGCAGTTTTCTGGAGGGTTATTTCCTCCACAAAGTGGCCTCGGCTCTTAACTGTCTGTGGTTTGCAGGGGGGTTGGGGGGCACGTCGGATTGATGCGGAGCCGTAATCTGCACCGAGACGCTCCAAACTCATCAGAGTCAAGCGCAATAAAACACCCGAATAAGAGGGGCTGTTTAAAATATCTCCAGATGGCTGAAAAATTGGCACTTTTAGTCTCTCGGATTCTGGTAGAATTAAGTGAAATTATGTCGTGCGTAAAAACAGAAAATCACAAGAGCAGGTATGGGTTTCTGTCACCAGCAGAACTACGGCGTTTATAACCGCGCGCGTTGTGGACGTTATAGCTGATATGAATTGTAGATCCCCTGCGCTTAAAATGCGGGATTTTAGCAGACCTCCATACCAGTCTCCTGTAAAATACAGCCAGAGCATGATTATTTATATATATATATATATAAATATATATATCTTTTTTTTTTTTTACGGTGATGCGTCCGCTGCCCCCTCTCACAATGGAGCTGCCTGCTGATGTTAAATAAAACAACTTCATGTTTTGGGGAAAAAAATAAAAGCTGCAGTGGCTCCGATGTGCGCTCTCCCGAACGCTTCCGGAACATAAAGCAGGCAGATTGGACAAATCTCTCCGTTTTTGTGTTTTGTTTTTTTAGCTGAACATGTTCTTGAGTTGAAACGCATTTGCCGTGTGTGCGTCGGGATGAGCAGCAGCAGCAGCAGCTTTGACCTTAACGCAACAACTTCCACTCCCGGCAGTGTGTTGTAATAAACGGATGCGTAAAAAAAAAAAATGCGTAAATGCGCATAAATATTACGCCTAATGATTCCCGACACGTTCTAATGCGCGTGTCTGTTTTTTTTTTTAAGGTTCTTTATTTCCTCTCCATGCGCACTGTCAGTGTCTTCATTTGTCTCTCAGAAAGTTCCCCCGCAGACACGAGGGCCTGTCTGCTGCAGTGCATATCTCTCTCTCTCTCTCTCTCTCTCTCTCTCTCTCTCTCTCTCTCTCTGTGTATGTGTATGTGTATATATATATATTAATAAATGTTCTAGCTTTAGCTGCTGCTGGTAGGAATTAGGTCACGGGTATATGCACTATAGGTATCAATGTGTGGCCTATCAGCAATACGCAGGCCCGGTGTCCCCGGTGAGATTTAACCACCTGCCTCTCGGTTTCCTGTCACTAGTGATTCTGCTGGACTCCAAGGCACAGCAGACAGAACTGGAGTGGATCTCCTATCCTCCCAATGGGGTAAGTCCGCAGAATGTCTGCAACACACTGGTGCTCTCCGTATCTATCCATTTTCCTCACTGATGTCCTACATCTGAGACGTCAATAATATTATTTAGAGGAGGGCATTGGGACACACATGATAACCCCCCCAACAAAAGATAAAGAATGCTCTGCCGGCCTTTGACATTCAGAGCACAAAAGGGCCTCGGGTAACCCACGTCCAACCTGCTAGTCTGATTTAAAAGCAGGCTGTGGGAAACTTTTTTTTAAATATGTAATGCGAGCATGAGCAGATAAACTTCAGCACGAGCATTCGTCAGAGATGTTTGTGCGATTTAAAAAACAAACAGCTAATCTCCCTTCATATACGGCAGTTTATTGTGTACAGTAAAGTCTGAAATTACTGTATTTCTTCTACCTTCGTCACATTCATTACAGAGTAGCCGTCTCCAGTTCGATTGCCAATCATTAGGGTCTTTCTCGTCTACATGGCGCTCTCCTCAAACGGTCGTGCTCATTCACGTTTGTCTTCTTGCTTTCCAGTGGGAAGAGATCAGCGGCTTGGACGAGAACTACACGCCCATTCGCACGTACCAGGTGTGCCAAGTCATGGAGCCCAATCAGAATAACTGGCTTCGGACTAACTGGATAGATAAGGGCACTGCCCAGAGAATTTTCGTGGAACTGAAGTTCACCTTGAGGGATTGTAACAGCCTGCCTGGCGTGGTGGGCACTTGCAAGGAGACGTTCAACCTATATTACCAGGAGACGGATTCGGAGGTGGGCCGGAGCCTGCGGGAGAACCAGTACGTGAAGATCGACACGATCGCCGCGGACGAGAGCTTCACCCAGGGCGACCTGGGCGAGCGGAAGATGAAGCTGAACACGGAGGTGCGCATCATCGGGCCCCTGTCCAGGCGAGGCTTCTACCTGGCCTTCCAGGACGTGGGGGCGTGCATCGCCCTGGTCTCGGTCAAGGTCTACTACAAGAAGTGCTGGTCCATCATCGAGAACCTGGCCACGTTCGCGGACACCGTGACGGGGTCGGAGTTCTCCTCGCTGGTGGAGGTGGAGGGCACGTGCGTGAGCGACGCCGAGGAGGAGGCCGACAACTCCCCCAAGATGCACTGCAGCGCCGAAGGGGAGTGGCTCGTGCCCATCGGGAAATGTATATGCAAGGCTGGATTTCACCAGAAAGGAGACGCGTGTGAACGTGAGTACCCTTTCTTTTTATATGTAATTTAATTTGCTCATTATTATTGTTTCTTCTTGAATTAGCCTTTAGAAATAAGTCAGGGGTGTCCTTGGATTTCACACAACAAGCGTGCCAAGAGAGGAAAAAAACAATAAACTGGGGAATATATGTGATTTGATTATGCAAAGCAGGTGAATGGCAATTTGGCCATCGCTGGCTGAATAGTTGTGTAGGCAAATGGGATTAAAGCAGCCGATTTGACAGCAGTAAAAATGAATAAAATATTGAGGCCAAACGGTGTAATAACGGAAGTGCTAATTGATCACAAGGCCCCTCATGGCCGTGATTGTGTTGACACTGGGATTAAGCAACAGCTCGAGTTTGGCCAATCAGCCCCCAACGCCTCCGGTGTCGTCCTCACTGGCACGGAACCAAGACAATCACACAGGTTATAGAGGAAGTCCGACCGGTTTCTTTTCCGTATCGTTCCACCCCTGGAACCAAACGACCCCGACAGAGAGGCAAAACAAATAGCCGGCCGCGCCGTGGCATTTAGGGCCTCGGGGATATTTATGAAGGAGCCGAACAGGAAGGGCAAACACACAGCCTTTCGCCGCGGCCCGCTCCTCCTGCCTGGTTGTGGTGCCGGATCGTGCCGCTACAATTAACAATAACATGCTCTCTGTCACTCGGGAGGATTATTTCCAGCGGGCACCTGACTTGAAAGATAAAAATCACTGTGGATTTTTAAAAAAAGGGGGGGGGGGGAAGTTAGGTCACACAACTTAAGTGGCCTGCCCTGTCGGCCAAGCTTTTTCTTTTTTCCTGGGCAACCTCAATCTAAGCAGCTTATGAGGAGCAGCAGCCAGCAATAATTGAATGGAATGTGTCTAAGAACAAATTAGTGTCCCTAGCAGACGAGCTTTTATGCCACGCTGACGTCCATTAGGGACCCTAGTGAGGGAGGTGTGTTAATGAAATGTATTAGGCCATGTAATTTAGAGCAACGCAGCCCGCCTCGAGTCCTCTCTGATGTTAGCGGGACTGTCGCAGGTTCAACCCGCGAGGAGCTCCCTCTGTTGTTCTTGTCATTTCAATAAGCACGGACGGAAGATTCAGTCGTGCACCTCTGCGGGAAGAAAAGCAGACTGTTTATTTCCACAGGGAGAGAGCGAGAGCATAACAACCAACAGCTCCGGCTACAAAGCAATTTTAGCCACCGTTCCTTATCGTGTATTGATGCAAAGCCCTGCGAACCGTGGACTGTTGCATTTCCCTGTTAATCAATCTGCTCGCGTGTCAACTAAAACAAAGATACAGAGACAGCCGTGCGGTGGACCGGCCCCCGGGTTGTTTAAAGTCTGCATGTGGATCATATTCCAGTCTTGACACTGCACCTTTTATGAGCTTTATCTCTGCCGAGGCATGAGAGGCCTTTTTGTATTAAGGGGTAGTTAATCTATATAAAATGAGAATCACGGTGCCCTATCAGCACTTCTTCCAGCGGCTCCGCTGACGTTAAATCGTCCATTCAGTATTTTCCCCGAGCACAATCTAAAAAAGCCATTCAATGTGTTGCTGTCGGGCGAAGCGGCAGAGCTAGAAGTCCAAGTGGCCGTGACCGTTAAAAAATGTGAAAGCCTGACATTTTGGACCCTCGGACCCAACTTGTCTTAGCGGCGCAAAAGCACATCTTTACATAATAGTGCCTCAGGGTGATGCCGGCCGCACCTTTAGTATAAAAAGGTTTTCAGTATGCTTCGAGCAAACGAAGATGACTAGTCCAAAAAAAAAAGGGGGGGGGGGGGGGGGCTGTGTAACTGTGCACTTGTGAACTTGTTTGTACAGATAGAGCGTGATTAAAAAAGGGAGCTTTAGAAAGTTATTGCCAAACCCCCGATTCTATCATATGGGGGGGGGGTGGGGGGGGGGCACTGAGTCTTTAGGGCTCAGTGCTGTAGCGCATTTTCGTTTAACTGTTACAACATGTTTTTCTCTTTCTAGATCTGATCTACATGCCCTAATGGAATCCCATTTATATTATCGGACTCCCAAATCATAACTTTAGAAAGTTGTGAGGGTTTCAGATTCCGTTGATAGTCCTGTCACAATAAAGACTGCACGGACTTATCGTTCAATATGTGGACACGAGCTTCACACTTTGACGTAATCGTCGTGTTTTGGTTGAAGCCAAATGTGAGAGTGTTGTTGTTATCTATATCTAATATGTTGATATTTTGCACCTTGTGTTAACAATTATTCTTTCAATTGAGAAACTGATTGGCAGGATATTGTCTGTTAAGTAAAGCATGTTCTAGAGCCCTGTGGCAAAGTGCAAAGACTCTTTTAATTATTGGGCCGGTTGTGCGGTTTGTTTTACTTATTAAGGATATTTCATTTTTCATATTCCACTTCCTATGTCTGACTATTCTTAAGAACGAATGGTCCGTTGCTCTCTGAAAGGGTTTACTTGCATTCTTGTCATGTTATATCACGATTAGAACAGTAGCAGAAAATTGTCTTATAACGACAATAATATTGTGTATCGCAATTCATTCTGGGACGATATATCGGCCGACTAAGCAGTTACCGTGACGGGCCTAGCCTCAGAATGACTGGCACTTCCTTCGAGGCGTGCTGACGCCTTAAGACGGTCCCCTTACTCTGGTATCGGCCGTGTGCTGTGATTACAACATGGCCGCTGCAGTAAAAAAAAAACATGCCGTGGAGCGAGGCAAGTTGAGCTGTGAGTCATGTCATTTGAGGAGCCCCCCCCCCCCCCCTCCTGGATACGAAAGGCCTCCTCCGAAAACGTGTTGTGATCCACTCATTCATCACCGTCAGCGATGAGGGACCCCTTGTCTGTCGCCCCTGTGCCCCCCCCTCCCCTCCGCCTCTCTTTAACTCTTTGTGTGGCAAGTCTTTGGCAGTAAATGTCACTCTTCTTTCCCCCCGCCTGCTGCGTTCACTGGTCTCAGTGTAATGGGTGTTGAAAACGGCCAGTTGAAGTGTCCCCGCAGCCTGCCGCGGGTTCTTCATTTTGCGAAGCAGTGCGTGTTGTGGAAAATAGCCCCCATTCATCCGATGGTCTTGTTCAGCGCTGGCCACTGGCGGCCGTGGAGCCACGGAGTCGTTCGGCACAGAGAGAGGGCCCTTGTGGGGGGACATTGGCGTCTTTGTTCCCGCTCAATCCCGGGAATGTATGTTGTCCGATTTTGACACATCACATCATTGTGGCACTAAGTAACCAGTGGCTTGGGAAATCATTAACTGTTGACCCTCGACCGCAGAAAGGAGAGAGGCCTCTATCTGGTGGAAAAAACAGATAAAACAAGGCTCTATCGTTCTGCTATCGGCGCATGCTAACAAGAGAATTAATGAGAGGATACAGCATCCTGTAGACACTGGCACCATCCATCTTGACTGCCAGGGAGTTGGACAGAAGTTAGTTGGAGACTGATTGATGATTTGAGCCCCTGAGGGACAGCACGGTGGGGGGGGGGCTCTGAGCCGTCAAGGGTCTGACCACGGCAGCTAACGTGTACGGAAGCCACCAGGCGACAAGTCCCAGCTCCTGGCCTGGAGGAAAAAAGCTGCATTTAGCATTTCAAATGAAGCCAGGAAGCCAAGAGACAGGAGGTCCTCATACATCTTGGCGCTCCCCTGATTGATAAGGTGTGAATTTAATACACCAAATGGCTGTCTTTTACAACCGCTCCAGAGCTTAATTATGCAAACGACAGGTGTGCGTCGAATCCACAAGAGACCCAAATGGACCTAAATCACTCAAGATTGAAATAAATCGGTGATGGATGGAAACTCGTCCTGTCACTGCCAGTGTCTGCTTCCTGTGAATGGTAGCATTCTTCCACAGCCCAGGGCTTTTACCTCCTTGTTGTCTTTGGCCTGGCAGGTAGCAGTCAGACACACAGATGTGCTATTCTCTGCTCGAGATGTTCCCACCAATACAGTTGGCGGTGTCCTAAAATGGATCACTTTGGGGAGGACTTTGTGACGTGAGATTTGGAGGATTGTTCAGATTTAATCATTCAAGTCACGTAATATGTAAAATAACAGAATTCTAAGTATTGTGAGGATGTTTTAGAACATTGTAAATGTAAATATGTGTGTTTTTTGGACAGTTGAATCTTATTTCACAGACTTAACAATTAAAAAAAGAACACCATTAACTTTTTCTTTAAGCATTGTTTTCATTGTTGATTAGTATATCAGCCATTGTCTTGATGAATTCATAAATTGTTGTTTGGTTTAACAAATAGTAAAAAAAAAAAAAGGCCAATTACAAATTCCCATAATCCCCCGCAAAATCTTTGCAATAACTACAAAATGTTGGAACAAGGGGATTTTGTTAATGCCGTTTTTTGCTTCGAAAATATCATAAATCATTCAAATAATTTTGTTATGCTCTAAATACATCTATATATGACTTTAAATTGGCTTTCCAGGATTATTAGGGTCAATCATTTTCCTTATGGTTTACATATAAGCATAGTGTATGATGATCGGGACATTTAAACATGAAATACAGGAAAATAATTCAGCAACTTAAATCACTTACACATGTAATTCGTTTTCCAAAAAAAAGACACAACTCAGAACAAATGTTAAAGATGGACTTGAACGATTGTTTCTACAGACACCGTGACGACATCGTCATCTGTAATTTGTTTGGCCTCGATAATCACGTAGTGAAAATCGTATAATTGTGACAGCCCTATCAATTCGTATTCTGTGATCACTCCTGAACAGTCACTTTCTTGCTGCACCCACCGTCCTAAAAGTTGTCTTTATCATAGTACTGATTTCCTACATTGCCCCAGAAAAAAAGGTCTCAGTGCTCTATATGCTGTATGCAGAGGACAGGACAAAGAAATAGTGATTTCAAAGCAAGTTTCTGCAGCAAGGGGAACGAACAATGGTTGTTCAAATTACCCCAAAAAAGAAAAAAGGCCAATGAAAAGGTTATTACATTTTAGCTGAAGTTGCTTTACAGAGAA